ACCTACAATCATGAGCTGGGGATATAAAAATAAATATAAAACTTTTCATTGACAGTATATTGTTTTACAAATGACAAAGTGCAATTTATTTGAATCAAGACAAGAGTTCATCAACCGAGGCGCAGCCGAGGCTGGCAATGTTCACGAGAATCAAAAACCGTTTTAGACGAGTGAAACAATATACTTTTTCAACAACACCGTTTATATCCTAATAATTTATCGCGCAATCGTCACTTCAGAATTTGACATTATTAAAACTACTACCATAGTCAGTGCCAAATCATGTTCAGATCATATTTTCGGTTTGTCAAGAACTGTCAAAATATTTTGTATTCATTCAAAAATGTCATTTCCTTACCAACGATGTGACGTTATCGACTAAATTGAGGTGCTGTCAATTTTGAAACAATGAATGATATATTACATAACTAGTGTGGAAAGTGACATATATCGAATTAGTGATATTTAGTGCGGAAATGTAACAAGTGCATGAAATACACTCCAACGAGTTATGTACACTATTTTTCCTACGACTATAAATATAAATAAACTCACCGACAAAAAAACCGGCCACCAAAAAGATTGACAGTATTGTTCACCCTGTAACTTTTTTAATCCTTGCCCGATTCTTGTGAAATTTTGATCACATCGTATATTTATGTTCCGGAATGTTAGCCTGAATATTACTTCAAGTGAAAAGCGGATGACTTGATCTTCATACAGGGAAATAATCAGTCACTATTTGACCCTTTATTTCTTAACGCCCTGTGGCAAAATTGAGTGGTTGAACTTGGTTTCATTATGCTTCGGATTGAAGTGTGATCCTTCCTTAACACAATAGTTTTTGAATCACGTCAATATCTAATTTTTAAGAGAAGATACAAGTGTTTTAGGAAAGTATGGCATTTTTCAAATTTCATTAACACTCATATTAACAATAATCCGAACCTACAGAAACTTATTCACAACCTGAAGAATTAATATCACATATTTCTACCTCATTTCCTTAGCACTTACAGAAAAAATCTCAATTACAAAAACAAACAAAAAGCAGAACTGTATAGTAGTCAATAACGAGTCATTCAACGAGGCATTCAACAGCCGTGGCATCGAGTTGATCAAATTTCTAAAGTAGTCTTGAAGAATTGCCTAAAAATCTCCTTGAAGGGCGAATCGTAGCTCTTGAAGAGTCTCTGACATGGCCGAACTAAGGCGAATGAGCCTCTGGAGTTCATCCCCAAGATGCTCTATAAGTTCTAAATTATTGTTGATAAAAATTTAAAAAATCCATACTTTCTCAAAAGACTTGTATCTTCTCTTAAAAAGAAGATATTGACTCGAATCTCGAACCATTGTGTTAAGAAGGGACGAAAAAGGATCACACTTCAATTCAGAACATGATAATGCAGAAGGTTGGAGAATGGTTCTCATTTATTGTAAATAAAATTTTTAAATAACATACTTTCTCAAAACACTTGTATCTTTTCTTAAAAAGTGGTTATCGACGAGAATCGAAAACCATTGTGTTAAGAAGGGATCACACTTTGATACAAAACATAATGAAGCTCAGTTCAACCACTCACCTTTGCCACAGGGCGTTAAGGAGTTAACCCGGCGTTACATATGTGGGGCCTGATGGACCCCAGCTGCCGAATATCGCTTCAAAAATATGCCAAATGTGAACTTATGCGTACGCCCCTCCTAATAGCTTCCGAAATATGTCCGCATCATTGAATTCAGACATCACTGCAGTACCTTGTAGACACTGAGTAAAATTATACGGGACTTAAGTGCTCTGGGGTGTGTCAAACTCCACCTATGTACTGACGTTCGTTATTTTGACATAATAGGTAAGTTGTTATTTTGGACAATTTTGGGTCAATTTTTTTTCTTTCTGTTATTTAAGCTGCAAATTTTTTTTTGTATTTCATTATCATCAAATTTCAGTTTCAGATTGTTCATTCCGGGGTGACATGTTCATTTAATCTCACATGATTTTTTTTGTCATGGTATGTTTTTTGGTACATGAGAAAAAAGCCATTTTCAGTTTATATGAGATTTCTTGTAATAAAGCCTATTTAATTATTTCGTGCGTGTTTTTATTGTTTCTAGATGATCCCCTGAGACTATGGAACAACAAAATATCAGAAGAAAAAATGATACAATTTTTCAGGTAACAGGGTTCGTCACACCCCAAGTATGTACTGATGCGACAATTATCCACGTATGTAACGCCGGGTTAAGGGTGAAAGAGTCACTTTTGTTTTTCCCTGTATAATGATCAAGCCATCAGCTTTTCTTGGGACCTTATATCCAGGCTAACATTCCAAAACATGTATATACGATTTGGTTGAAATTTCACCGATATCGGACAAGAATTAAACGTTACATGGCGAACAATTTGACAAATTTTTTTTGTGGTCGTTTTTTATATAACTTTTTATATGTCTATCATCTATGTTAAAATTATTCAAACTCATTATTCGGCGAATAAATCATAATTTCTTCCGGAAAAATAAAAATTGAAAGTTTGGAAATATTTTGTTTTTATTGAATTCGAAGTGTACCTCGATATCATTGCCTCGATATCGAGAACTACCACACATCTCGTAACCACGCAACCAATAATACAGCAGAGTGCGGAGACACGATGGTCACGACGGTGTATAGACCCTAGCAATGACCACAAGCGTCTAGCTAGACCAGCGAATCTTTCAAACCTCAAGGTTATCAGAAAGTTATTCGTGTTTATAAAACTTATAAGAGGTATTTTTTCGCGAGTTCCCGTTGATCAGCCACCGGTAATAGAGCGGTGATACCCCCCCCCCCCAAAAATAAACCGAAGGCCGTTCATCCTTTGATTCCTCACGAAAATGAACCGGTTAACCGTTCAGATTTCTGTCAGCTGGGGTTTTTGTTTTCGATTATAATAAATGGACAGTTGCATTTTGGTTGCATAATCGTTGGCTCCGGCCGCTCCGGTGGCTCAACAAAAATCATCTCAAAATGTTCCCAACAGTACTGTCAAAGATTGATGATTTTTTGGTGGTGTTCTTCCATTTCTTGATTCAAAAAGTGAGTAGTAGGTATCTCAAAAATAGTTTGAATAATTATAAATATGTTTACTTCTAATAATAACATGATACTTTGAAAATAATGATACAATGTCACTTGTCAATTACTATAACCGCCAGTAACCATGCTCACAGATGCGGGATCTAAAACAGTTCCAAAAATTGTGACGTCACTAATGACGCCATTATCATACTCGCCTATTACCGTTATAACGAGAAAATGCAACGGGAACTGAATATCAGTTCCCGGCAAATCAACGGGATCTCGCGAAAAAGTACCTAAGGTAATATGAGGTAGGGTCCCTTGAAGTAAATTGACGTATTTGTCATCTTAACGGGGTACGGACAGATCCTCGTCTCTTCTCACTCTAAAGTGTTTGTGAAACAATTATATAGTTCCATCTTTATTCTTTTCTGGGGATAATCACTAGATTTCTGACATTTGTTGTTTTTTAGGTTATATTGAGGACATTGGCGTATCATACGTAATTTCCACATGTAATTTCTCATTCAACTCTACATATTAGGTATATCCATATGATGATCATTTTCGAGTTTTTGATTTATCAACTCCAGCATAATCTTTGTGAGGCAGTGAGCAAATTTTTCTGAAAGCTTAATACGTTTCACCAAATGGGACTGTTCTCAGGCAGTACCTATCAATAAATGAATTTTGATTTCAGACTAAGCCTTATGGTTGAGAAATTGTGAAAAATTGTATGTAGGTATTTGATCTAATGTGCTCATATGCCATGTGTGCTGTATTTATTCATGTTGGGAATCATTTTTGCAGTTTTTCAGGAACACTTAATATTTCCTGAATGTAGGTATACTTTTTTAAATGGTAGGGCATATCCCTATGCTTTTAATCCTCCGTTTTAATCAAAACTATTTCTACTAAAATGCATTCGAAAACTTGTGGAGTGATTCTTGATATGTGATTTCGTATTAGTTTTACCTAGAATGTTTTGCTAATGTATTTACCAATTTTCCCCATTCGGTCACTTCACTTTCCATGTTCTAAGTTCATTTGCATTCGATGGAAAGCTGGCAAATTCAAATTTGCCATCAAACTGATCTTACTAGTCCTAGTTTCTCAATATAAAGAAGGAAGAAATATCCATGTGTTGTGGTCGACGTCACTTGACCTCGATGTTTGAAGATTCACTGGTCCAGCTAGACGCTTGTATTATAACCCATCAGACAGTCTAGAATCTAGATATTTAGCCGTCATTGACCACACCGGTGTAGACAGCAATGAGGTTATGTCTTGCGGATTATGAAAATATTACAATTATTACTTCTCATGGAGCAAAATTTGAACTCTTGTATATACAATGATTGTATTAAAATATGATAATTCAGTATTATAATCATCCATACATTATATAGACCAAACAAAGATCACGTGGGTGTGCGGGAATATTGTTACACTGGTCGTTTTCACTTTCGCAATGCTATGGTGATATGACTGATATGAGACACTTTCTGAGCAACAACACAGTTTGCTATAATGCTGCTTTCATAGGTGGTCGTTGGAAAATATCAATTTATGATTGTCACTTTTATAAAACTACAACAGCTTCTATTATTACCGGACACTTTTTCGAGAACACGTTTTCGACTCGGGAGAATTTTCAAAATATTCCTGTTTGAGATAAAAAATCCGGTTTTTAATAGAAGCTGGGTGGTATTCGGTAGGAAAATTTCACACCAAAATGTTATTTAAAAAATACTAGCATGAGATTACGTTAAATAAAATTCAAACTATCGCCTTTAATTATGCAAAACATTGATGAGGCAGATAGCCTATTATTCTTGACTAACTTCATTCAACTAAAAATAATAGTGGAAACATATTTTGTTACAAGGAACTTGAAGTCTCAGTATGTAGTATTAATGAAATTCACATACATAACAGTGTTAGGGAATATAAAACACAATTAACTCACTTTAGTTACACAAAATAATGAAAAAATAAGTCGTTAGTAGCTGAGTTTCCCAGTTTTTCACAAATTCATTTTACTAAAGTTTCTAGAAATATATTTTCTTACCAGAAACTCGAAGTACTAAGTATTTAGTATCAATGAAATTTGCGACATAATATTATTAGGTTAAATACAGGGTTATTGTTAAATAAAATATAATTAAACGACCTTAATTGAATGAATTAATATAAAACCAGTCGTTAGCGTCTCAAAATCTCGGTTTTTTACAAATTCATTTAGCTAAAGTTACTAGAAATACATTTTCTTACAAGGTACTTATCAACTTGAAGAATGGAGTTGACATAATATGAAATTGAATGTGAATATCATTATTTCATATAAACGTTGAAAAATGTAATGAAAGTGTAATTTCATGCTCCTTCCCTCAATGAAGAGGAAAAAATTCCGGAAATTTATTTAGTTGCTATGGTAACGATATATAAAATACATTCTTGAAGTTCTATTACAAAATGACGTTTTTTCTTAAAGGCATGTAGAAACATTTTTCAATCCCTATGATAGTTTGGGAGATGTCAGGGAATTATATAAAAAGTGTCAAATGTTGGATGGAGTTGAAAATTAATTTGTTAGTTGAAATTGTGATCAAAGAGGGCGCCAACAAAGTTTCATTTCTATTATGTCCTTCGTTTCCTATTACTTGGCAAATGTCCTTGGTTAGACAATCTCTGATACATTGTAATGAATTCCAAGCATTTTGATTGGTTATTCGATTGTCTTCTTTCAATCAAAGGTAAGAAAAGTTAGGTATGGTTACCTATGATGAAGAATATCCAGATCTTCATATATTCTAGTGTTCCACTATTATTTTTCCACGAATCCTTCAGAGGTCAGTCTTCTTTTCTTTTTCAGGCTCATTAGAGGGTTCTTTGAAATATTTTCTGACGGCGACTGCAACTTTATCTCTGATCGACTTGCATCCAGTCTTTGAAAATTGCTTATTTTTTCCTAAATCCCAGTGCAGAGAATCTACTATTTCGCTGAAAATTAATAAATATTGCCTGATAAGTAAGTAGCTTAGATTAAGTTCGGACTGATTTTGTGAAGTAAAGTGCACATATAAGAACAGTGTCAAGAGACAACAATGCCAGGGTCAGTACCATAATTAAGTTTATTCAAAATGTTGACATAATATAAATTAAAAGTATACATATTGGTATTGAATAAACAAATAAAACCTTACGAATTATAACTTGTTGTAAGTAAGGTATATAAAATAAAAATTATGGTTATTTAATCAATTGATTAATTCGAGACAGAAGTAATTTATAAATAAAAATGTATTGTTTTTCATTGAATCATTGGGTATAAGTACAATTCAGTACTGTTTCAAATTTCGTATATATATAGTTACTAAATATTAACCAGAGAAGCAAATAAATTCCTTGAAGAGACCAGTATCCAGTTTTTTATTTTAGATTTGTAGCAATAAAATGATTTGACTTTATTTATATCACGCGGAATTTCATCATACAAATAAGAAATCAAATATTTATAATTTCTTTGTCCAATTGTTTTATTAGATATATTTCAATGTTTTGTTTTTGTTTCTTATATCATAGGTACATTTTTTTATTTAAATATCATTTCTGTTTTTGAACATGTTAGTTGATGAACAATACATATAAAGCTGATTCAAATCCATCTTTTGGAATTCTTTGTATAAAAGGTCAGTTGGAAATAAATAATCTATATTACATGAATTATTTTCAAATGGACTCTTTGAATAACTTCCAATTTTTCAAATGATTGCTTTACTCCTCCCCATCCTAAAATTCCATAAACTAATTGAGATTGAACTAAAGCAAAATATATCATCTCCTGTTGTGCGAATATCCAGAATCATAAAAATTTATGGATCTATTCGCGTGAGATTGAGTGGACTGTATTTCGTGTTGAGAAATGGGAAAATGAAGACGAGAGAGTTTGATGTTCTTACCTTAGGCTTAGGCGACTCATGAAAGAAACCGCTACGCTAGAAGCTGCTGATGTAATCCCGCGATGAGTCTGCAGCCGGCCGGCGCGAAGCTGTTACACAACTGTGCCACAGGTTGTTCAAATGTTGAGGTCTTTCACCATAACATGGAAACTGATTCCACACTAGTAACCGATCACTCGATCACTTTTAGTAACGGATGAGATTAATGAGAATAATGCGGCGAACCCGCACTGAGAAATCGCGTGATTTTACCAAATATGGCGATGCAAGTGGAGACACTTGGAGATAATCTGTCAATGCCCAAAAAACCTGGTGTTGAGCTCTCTGTCCTTTTTTTTTTCCTCGTGGAAGGTGTCGCCGTAGTAAGCGGCGCAAACATTAAACTCTCGTATGCGCGAAAATAATGATATACTGGGTGATTATTATTTAAAGTTACTTATGTTAGTTTATACAAAATATTGAAACGTAAAAAATACAATAATGAAGGAAGAAAAAAAAAGAAAATTAATGTACTATAGTTATAGGGACAGAACATCCCGCCCACCAAAATGCATAAATGCATTTTCAAGAATCTATAGGGAGTGGGCATATTTTTACTAGTGGTCGCTTGAATGTGCCACCAGCCGTTTTAACGGTTACAACGCGTATTACACCATCACTTCCCGGATGTACTGCTATAATACGACCCATTGGCCAGGACATGGGAGGAGTATGATTATGCTTAATTAGAACTAAAGTACCTGGAGTAATGGAAGGACTAGCTTTTGTCCACTTAGTACGTTGATGCAACGTATGCAGGTATTCCTGGGACCATCGATTCCAGAAATCTTGGTGCATACGCTGCAACAACTGCCAACGAGTGAGACGATTTTGAGGGATATTGGTCAGATCAGATTCGGGAGGCGCGTTCAGAGGTTCCATGGTGAGAAAATGACCTGGAGTGAGGGCAGTGAGGTCCTGAGGGTCATCACTTAGAGGGGTGAGAGGACGGGAATTCAAAAGAGACTCAATTTGGATTATGACTGTATTCAACTCTTCATAGGATAAAATCTGTTCACCAATTACTCTGGTCAGGTGAGTTTTGACAGACTTCACCCCGGCCTCCCACAAACCACCAAAATGGGGGGCAGACGGAGGATTAAAACTCCAATCAATGGATTCTTGAGAAGCGGCAGTCTGGAGAACGTTATTGAGGTGTTTATGAGCACCAATGAAATTACTCCCACAATCACTGTAGAGGTGCTGACAGCGACCTCTACGTGCTATAAATCGGCGCAGGGCCGCAAGAAAAGCCTCTGTAGACATATCAGAGGCAAGCTCGAGGTGCAAAGCTTTTGTGACCAAACACACAAATAGGCACAAATATGCCTTCAGGCCTTTGGCACCCCGACTTTTTGATAAAGTGATTGTAAATGGCCCAGCGTAATCAACGCCAACGTGAAGAAAGGGTTTAGCTTGTGATATACGGGTAGAGGGTAGGTTCCCCATTGGAGGTTGAACAGAAATGGGATTGGTTCGCCAACATTTGAGGCATTTCGAAATTATGCGGCGAATTACACGTTTAGCTGAGCATATCCAGAATTGTTGGATAACCAGATAGTGAACTTGCTGGATACTAGCGTGAAAATATTTAACGTGAACATTTTCAATGATCAGTGAAGTGAGGCGATTAATGCTGGGTAGGAGAGCGGGAAATCGTCGTTCGTAGGAAATCGGAGCATGAGCCAATCGCCCGCCTACACGAAGAGTGCCATCTTCATCGATAAAGGGGCTTAATTTTCTAAGAGGCTTAGAGGGCTGTTTACCTTGTCTAATCCGAGATATATCTTCATCAAAATGCTGAGCCTGTATGTGTTTAACAAATACATTCAGTGATTGGTGTAGTTCTACAGACATGAGATAACCACGTCGTTTTTTGGAAGGATGACGGCAATTATGAATGAATCGACGAACGTAAGCGACAATGCGCCTCAAACGTTCGAGAGCGGAAAACTTATCAAGGAGAGCATCCAAAAGGTGGGAATCAGTAGTGGCGATTAAAGTTAGATTTCGTTCTTCATCCAATGCTTCAGCGGGATACGAACTGGGGGGAAGATGAGACCAATTACGGTTTGGAGAGAGTAAAAAGGATGGACCCGCCCACCATAGGGAACTATCGAGTAATGCAGAGGGGGAAAGGCCTCGAGAACCTATATCTGCAGGATTTTCCGCAGATGAAACATGAAACCAATGTTCTGCAGCAATTTTCTCCTGAATGTGTGTTACCCGATTGCTCACGAACGTTTTCCATCTATGGGGAGATGAATTCAACCAACAAAGGACAATAGTAGAATCCGACCATGCACAGATTCTGTGAAATGTGAGTTTCGGACGATAAGTGGCTAACACGAAGGAGAATAAGCGAGCTAGAAGAACAGCAGCACATAATTCCAATCTTGGAATGGAGATGGTCTTGAGGGGGGCAACCTTTGATTTGGCACAAACGAAATTAGTGGAAAATTCTGTTTTTCCAGTAGCATGAATAAGATAAATAACTGCACAATACCCTCTTTCAGAGCTATCACAAAACCCATGAAGCTCAAAGTTACTAGAAGTGTTAGGCAATAAGAGCCGGGGAATTTTACAACGAGCCAAAGAGGGAAGTTCTTGTGTAAGTTGTTCCCAGATGCGTTTTATGTCATTGGGTGGGGAGGCATCCCAGCCAAGGTTCATGGTCCATAGCCTTTGAATAAGAAATTTAACAAAGAAGGTAAATGGAGACACCAGCCCCAATGGATCGAAAATGCGGGCAAGATTGGATAAAAGATTACGCTTTGTGCAAGTATAATCCACAGACTGTACGGAGAAAGAAAAACAATCTGAAGATGGGTTCCAGTGAAGGCCGAGAATTTTTAGTGGGGTGTCGGCCTCAAAATTCAATGAGTGTGATTCATCAAACAGATGGGAGGCTGGAAAATTTTCCAAAAGGTGGGAATCGTTTGCTGCCCATTTCCGCAGCTCAAATCCGCCCTTTTTCAGTAAGGTTATAAGTTGAGATTGTAACTTCTTAGCAGATTCCAAAGTAGAGGCACCGGTAACAATATCATCTATATAGGTTTGGGTTCGAATAACCTGAGCTGCTTCAGGAAACTCATCAATCTCTTGATCAGCTAAGGTTAATAAGGTTTTTATAGCCAAGTATGGAGCACACGAGAAACCGTAGGTTACAGTGAGGAGCCTATAATCTTTTATAGGCTCGGAAGGAGAGAAACGCCATAGAATGCGTTGATAATCGGTGTGCTTGGGATTGATGAGAATCTGTCGATACATTTGTTTGATATCGGCAGTGAAAACATACGGATATAAACGAAAATTGAGCAAAATGGTAACGAGGTCTCGCTGAAGTTTGGGACCCGTCAAAAGGCAATCATTAAGTGAAGGCTGTCCTGGATCCTTGGAGGAGGCATTGAAAACTACTCGGAGTTTAGTTGTAGTACTGGAGGGCTTGAGAACGGCATGATGGGGAACATAAAAACTCCTATCAGAACTAGAAGAATTCTCGAGACATTCCATATGTCCAAGGTCGAGGTATTCTCGCATGAACTTAGAGTAGTCTTGATATAGAGAGGGATTTTTGAGAAGACGTCGTTCTAAGCTGAGGAAACGAGACATGGCAATATGTCTCAAACCTGGAAAAGAAGGCTCGCCATTACGAAAAGGGAGTGAAAGTATAAATCTTCCTGTCTCATTTCGATAAAAGGTATCATTGAATGTTACTTCGCAAAGCTGGTCTTCAGGAGATAAACTAGTACTACTTGGGACATTCTCTACCTCCCAAAATCTTCCTAGAATATTTTCTAACGTATTATCGAAACAAGGAAATGATTGAGAAATGGTTTGGGTATTTGAAGCGGTTTTACCCATTAGGATAAACCCAAAAATAGTATTCAAAGCTACAGGATCCTCAGAGTTACCCTCACAACGACCGGTTTGAAGAATATGTGGGAATAAATCTGCGCCTATTAAAAGATCAATAGAGCCTGGGAGGTTGAATCTAGGATCTGCTAGACGTAAATTATGGAGATGAGAATAAGACGATGATGAGATAGGGGAATTGGGCAAATCGCCGCAGATTTTTGGGATGATAATAGTTTCTATATTGTAGCTGGGGGTAGATTTACCAATTGGTTTGATGTGGCAGGATATTCCTGTAGAACTGGTGAGTGTGTGTGTCTGTCCGATACCTTGAATGGAGAAATTCAACTGGTATCCAGAGAGGCCTAGACGATTGGCACATTTTTGAGAAATGAAATTACATTGGGAGCCTGAATCTAAGAGAGACCGGACTTGTTGATAGTTTCCTCGACTGTCTAGAATCTCCACGTAGGCTGTAGGCAATAAAACATTGGAGGAACGCGGTACTATACCTGTGAGTACATGAGAGGCGGCAGGAGGAAAACTTTCCCCTTCTATAGCTGAAGAGCTCGTTGGAGACATATTAGATATTGGCCTTGAATGTATCGGTCGGGAGGAGGTGGCATTTGTTTCGAAATGAAGCATGGTGTGATGTTTCTGTTGGCATTTATGGCACGAATAAGTTGATGAACAATATTTTACAGTATGAGAATTGGCAAGACAGTTTGAACACAAGTTTTTATTCTTTACAATGCGATAGCGATCATTGGGAGACTTCGTAAGAAAATCAGGACATTTATAAATCGAATGATCACCTTGGCAAATGATACAACTCGATGAAGTTGTATTTGTCACTAAAGTAGTGCTGGGGCGATAATGTGAAAAACTAGGTTTCGGGAAACTCTCCACTTTTTTGATGGGTTTTATTTTTCTTGTTAAATTAACATTATCCATTGCACTGCAATGTTTATTAAGAAAGTCTATGAGTTGAGAGTAGGTGGGAATAGCGGACGAACCGTGTTGAAGTTCAAATTTAGTAGCAATTGAAATGTCTATACGTTTCAATAGCATTTGCACCAGTATAAAGTCCCAGGAGTCAACTGGTAAGTTCAACAGTTTGAGTGCTGATAAATTATCAGAAAAAATATCCAAAAGGTTCCGTAAATCTTGTGGGTTATCAGATGATAGTTTGGAGGTATTGTCGATGGCTGACCAATGAGCTGCAGCAATCAACCGATCATTTTTGTAACGATTCACTAATGTTTTGTAGGCAATAGAGTAATTTCCAGAAGTCATGGGTAATTTCTGAACAAGTGACAAAGGAGTTCCTCGAAGGGAGGAAATGAGATAATTAAACTTTTCTATATCACTTAATTGAGTATTTGTGTGAATAACAGCATCAAACATATCTAAAAATGAAGAAAATGTTGTTACATCTCCACTGAAGGTTAATAAATGAAGTTTAGGTAAACTGATATTGTTCTTTGGGACTATTGGTGAATTCGAATTTTCTTGTTGACTTATGTTGAACAAATTATGGAAAATATTTTTGATTGCATAATAGACCTTCTCAAAATTACGCCTGATTGCATCTTCAGTATCAAATGCTTCGTCAGAAATAATAGAAATAACAGCATTATGTTGTTTGGAAAACTCATTCTTAATAGTTTCGAGAAACTCATATTTAATTTTGAAAATTGAGTGAAAATTCTCATCACCTTCAGCATCGACAGCGGTGTCATGAATTTCCTTCATACGATTTATTTCCGTTTGTCTGAGAATTTGATATTTTTTTATTTTATCCATGGTGGGTAATTGTATCTTAACAGCGGTAGATGTAACAGGAAATTTAAATTGCGAGAACTAATTCACTGTTAACTTGTAATTAATTATTAATTTTTATTTCGAATCACCCTGTAACTTCTGGAAATAATGTGTATATATGAAATATAATGGATGGCCACAGAATAACAAACTAATTAAGCAAAATTCATGCCACTGATTTGGAGTAGTGAAAAAAGAGTACGTATACTATATTATATATTTATTCACCGGAGTTAAAGTAATATGGGTTTCGGCGAAACAGGTATGTATTAGAAACAAAAAACAACCTCGAAATATCTAGTGAATTCGAATGTGTTTTTGTTTTTATTATCTGTTCCGCATGAAATTAAAACACGTCGGTCGTATAAACTTGAGACTGCCAACTTTACGTACTTGTATATGAAAAATTATGATGTATTTGACTTTCAGCTACATTCAAGCGAACCAAATTGATAAAATGCGATACTAAATTCCATATTTTAATTCGAAAATGTTATTATGATTTCGCCACATCCGGCTCGAAGAGGATCAAAATGTTGTGCGAATATCCAGAATCATAAAAATTTATGGATCTATTCGCGTGAGATTGAGTGGACTGTATTTCGTGTTGAGAAATGGGAAAATGAAGACGAGAGAGTTTGATGTTCTTACCTTAGGCTTAGGCGACTCATGAAAGAAACCGCTACGCTAGAAGCTGCTGATGTAATCCCGCGATGAGTCTGCAGCCGGCCGGCGCGAAGCTGTTACACAACTGTGCCACAGGTTGTTCAAATGTTGAGGTCTTTCACCATAACATGGAAACTGATTCCACACTAGTAACCGATCACTCGATCACTTTTAGTAACGGATGAGATTAATGAGAATAATGCGGCGAACCCGCACTGAGAAATCGCGTGATTTTACCAAATATGGCGATGCAAGTGGAGACACTTGGAGATAATCTGTCAATGCCCAAAAAACCTGGTGTTGAGCTCTCTGTCCTTTTTTTTTTCCTCGTGGAAGGTGTCGCCGTAGTAAGCGGCGCAAACATTAAACTCTCGTATGCGCGAAAATAATGATATACTGGGTGATTATTATTTAAAGTTACTTATGTTAGTTTATACAAAATATTGAAACGTAAAAAATACAATAATGAAGGAAGAAAAAAAAAGAAAATTAATGTACTATAGTTATAGGGACAGAACATCTCCATACTAGGAATGCTTGAAACATATTTCAAACGTTTGAATTTGAAAATGACATTTGTTTCAACATAATCTACCTGATTATCCCCACATCAGATTATTATCAATCATTATGCCAAGATATTATATACAATTGGTGGAATGACTGTTCACAGTTGTCGAAAAATTATATTAGAATGAGGAAAAACGAAACTTTTTAAAAGACATTGAGCAGACATTTTTATCGCGAAGTTCACAAGTAGGTATATATTCTTGAAAGACAGGTTTCATATGTTCATTCCCAGATAAAATTCATTCTCTCAATCTCAGAGAGGTATCTCCAATCACCACAATCACTGCTTCAAATATTCGTTGACTGATTTTATAGATTATATTAACTCTAGTATCATGATTTTGAAATTATTTGGAGCCCCAATATATAAATTTAACCTCTCATGTGAATTCTCCCATGCAAGGTCATAGAGTTTCCCGTTTTATTTGTAAACGTCATTCTGTTCCCACCACCGCTACTAGAATGGAACAAATAAAACGCAACTAGTGTTTCCGTAAGACGTTAATTTTTTCATTCATAGAGAAACTTTTCTTCACCAAGCCGATCCTTTTGAAAATTTGAAATATCTCTTATAATTACCTCACAACATGGTCGTCTCTAGGCGATTTTAATAGGACTTTTCGCCGTTTGAATTCATCTTTAGTACAGTTTACGATATGTCTCCTTTCCAGTGGTAAAAACGGAATATAGTGATCTATCAAATTGTCACTAATCGCCTCCGACTGATGAAGACCTCCTGAAAAGCCCACAAAGGAACATTAATTGTTTTTAGAATTGCGCCAAATCGATAAAAGAGAAGAACTTCCTCTACTCTACTCAGATGGCGCTATTTAAACTACTGATTCATATCATTATGTTACAATTCGTTAAAGCCAGTGCATTACAGCACATACACACATTCATAGAAACCGTGATTAAATTAAATGAATTGAATATATCGAGGGCATTCCCTCAATTAACTGCCCACTATTCCGAGTTTCCTTGGCATAGAGTATGCTTTGACTCTGAGGACCCTTCACAGTGTGCTGCGGAAATTTCCGAAATCATCATGCTCTGAATAGACACATACATACCTCATTTTTCGAAGAGATCATCACCATCGAAACCCTGTTTCAACAAAAACTGTTCTAGAACTGTTGCCTTGAAACAAACAGCCTACCATTGCTGGCGCAAAAACCCTAACCTCGCGACTAGAGCAGAATACGTTGATAACTGCAGCCAAATAATAGATGCTTCGAAAGAAACATATAATGCCAAGATAAGATCGAAACTCATAGATTGTCCCAATGGCTCCCGTTCGTTTTGGTCCCTTGCTAAAGCGGTCGGAAGAAATTTCACTAATAGTTCATTTCCACCACTGTCCAAATCCGACGGCACATTAGCAACAACATCGCAGGAGAAAGCAAATATTTTTGCAGAGATGTTCGCAGCAAACTCTACTTCAGATACCCAAGGAAAAATGCCGCCAGACATTCCACCCGTTGAGAGTCGAATGCCCGAAATCGTCTTCGGTCAACGCACTATCAGACGAATTTTGCTTGGTCTCAAAACGAATAAGGCTAACGGTCCTGATGGAATTCCACCCATTATCCTTAAAAAATGTGCACCAGAATTAACACCGATTCTCTGCAAGTTGTTTACCGTCTCGTACAGGTCGGGTATTTTTCCATCATGCTGAAAGACAGCTAGAGTCCAACCAATCCCCAAAAAAGGAAACAAGAACCTGCCCAACAACTACAGACCCGTTGCCCTGTTATCAGTAATCTCCAAAGTGATGGAGAAAGCCATCAATATTGAGCTCATCAAATATCTGGGAGAGCTCAGGAATCATCAATGATCATCAATGAAAATACGGCTTTCGCCACTGAAGATCTACTGGAAATCTACTTGCCTACGTCACCCATTTATGGCAAGCTTCATTAGAAAAACACGGGGAATCTCTAGCTGTCTCGTTGGACATATCGAAAGCATTTGACCGTGTTTGGCACGAAGGACTCCTCCACAAACTACCATCATACGGCTTACCACCTCAGCTATGCCATCTCTTATCGAGTTTTCTTTCAGGCAGATCGCTTCATGTGGTGGTGGACGGTGTATCGTCTGATACAATTGGCATCAATTCCGGCGTTCCACAAGGATCAATTTTGGCACCAACATTATTCCTTCTTCATATCAATGATCTGTTGGGAGTAACAACTTGCCCCATCCACAGCTTTGCAGATGATAGTACCTTCCATACTGCGTTCTCTTCCAGAATTCCCATTTCTTCCCAGGAAACTAAGAACTCACGGTGCAGGCAGGTCAATGCTGTCAATGAAGACCTTGCTGAAATCACAGCCTGGGGACCCAACAACCTAGTTGAATTCAACGCCACCAAAACTCAAGCCTGTATTTTCTCTAGAAAGGCGGAGTATGCCCGATATTGTAATGTCTGGCACCACCATCCCCACCAAGCCCACCATATCTATGCTCGGTATTTTCATCAGCAACACTTTTTATTCATGGGATATTCATGTCAGATCTATCGCAAAAGCTGCTTCACAAAAACTCGGATTCTTGTTCCGTGCGAAAAGCTACTTTACACTTCAACAGCTTCTCATGATCTACAAAGCGCAGATACGGCCTGTTCTAGAATACTGTTCCCACATATGGGGTTCGGCACCAAAACATACGCTGATATCTTTGACATCATTGGAACACCGTAGAAAGGTCGGCGACCTTCAGCTTTTCTATCGATACTTCCACGGGAAATGTTCTTCGGAAATCTCTGGTATCATCCCTTCACTAGCAATACCAGTCAGACGAACTAGACAAGCCGTCAGCACATCCTTTCGTTGTCAATCTCGAAAGATGTTGAACAGCACTTTATCAAAACTCCTTCATCCATAGAATGGCTAGGCCCTGGAATTTTTTTTCGCTTGGAGCGCACGAAAGGGAATCCCTATAATGTTCAAAGAACATCGTGCGTTCCTAGGGAGGATAGGGATAGGAGGTAGGTATTGGAATTTTTTATGAACTTCTGGAGATTATAATATAATCTCCAGAAGTTGTTGGGAATACTTCCTCAGGCAATGAATGCCTGAACATTATAGGTAATTCCTTTCGTGCGCTCCAAGCGATAAAAAAAATTCTTATTCCATTTATAATCTGCCCTTTGGCATTTGCAATAATTGTGGGCATATATACACTGTGTCCAAGATAAGAATGAACAGCATGGGGATCTCGGAAACGGTAGGAGATACGAATTTGGTTGAATTAGAGAAAAGTAGCGCATTTTTGTGCCTAATAATATACCATTTACAAACTTTCAATATTCCGAGCTGTTTCGGAGATATCTGAGAAAAAGCAAAATTTGAGAATTTTGTTTTTATTTTTTCCTAGCTTTATTTTTGAAGGAAATGTAAAACAAATAGCATTTTGCCATGACCACTTTTCAAGAACTACATGATAATGTAAGCAGATTTTGAAAAATATATTATGATTCCTTCAAATTAAACATTTGGAAAAATGTGTGTTTGAAAGAATTCCCAAGAATAGATTTCGTTCATTATAGGTATTTCCTTCCTTCAGAAAATGTACCTATACCTTATTCGTGCCTATAGTCACTTCTTTTCCCAAACTATGGCAATTCAACTTTATGCGAATTTTCAATGAAACTTATTGCTATTCAACTCAAAATTTGTCTTTTGCAAATACCCGTTTGTTTCTATTCAGAAACTAAAGAAAATAGAAAAACTGTTAAAAGAGGAATGTTCAGCAACCGAAGGGCACGATTTGGATTTTGTCGAAATGATAGGAACTCAGAGCACATCTTCAATAAATCCAGTCATGAATATAATGGAGTCTACAAATGAAGAAAAATACTTATAATACATGTTATTCGCGATAGAAAATAAGCGTACACCACCTATCGAAGTTTCTGAAAGCTGTCAAAGTGGTTCATTGGTTCACATTTGTTTCTCGTTTGTGATTATTGGTCAATCCTTCAAAACAAACCGCTCAGAAGTGTTCAAGTTGTTGCCGTCAGGTGGGGTAACGTGTTATTTTCTATCGCGAATACGGCAATTTTTTGAGATGTAACATCTCAGAAAATAGCTGCTTTTCAGACGTGACATCTCTGAAAATGGTCGAATATGATGGATTAAAACTGTAACATGTCGAAACTTTTTCTTGAAAAATTTGAAAAAATATTCGAAAATATAACTAAAAATTTCCCATGTAAGCTTATGACATATAATAATATAATTTGAAGTAAATATACTTTTCGCGGTGAATGAGGTTCAGAGACAAATTCATCATCATTAAAAAGTGAAAATTTTCAAAGTCGATTCTCTCAAAACGAAGAATATTGAATTATCACACTATTGTTCTCAACGTGCGATATATATGTGCTTTGCTTTTGAGTGGGGATTACATTTTTTCAAATTCCTACTGTAACTTTTCACTTCTGGGAATGAAATGCAACTGAATTCAATATCGAAGTTGAGTGAAAATCTTCCAATTGTACAGGGTGGCCAACTAAGAATCCCGAGTTCGATACCTCTGTTGTCTTGAGAGATACAAGAAAAAGTTTTGCATTCAAATTGAAGTGACAACCAAGCTTCACATTTCAAAATTTCTTTGAAATACACAGGGTGTTCCGTAAGGTCACAGCACATCAAAGCTATGTTTTTTTCATTGGAAAACCCTATATTTTATTCCATTTTTGAATTCTCCCTGAAGATCTGATTTCAACGACGTATCATACTTAGCGTCTAGCAGTGAAAGTTACTGACATATAGGGTGTTTAAAATCGAGATTTTCCAAGTTCAGGATTTTTTTCTGTCGAAACTGTTCATTATTCGTCAAAACGGTTTACATGTCCCTATCTCAACTTTTCACTCACTATCGATTGGTGTTCAATTGACATTTAATTGAAACAAATTATAAATTTAGATTTTTTGACCACCTTGTATCAATTTCAATTGAACACCAATTGATAGTGAGTGAAAAGTTGAGATAGTGACATGTAAACCGTTTAGACGAATAATGAACAGTTTCGACAGAAAAAAATCCTGAACTTGGAAAATCTCGATTTTGCACACCTTATATGTCAGTAACTTTCACTGCTAGACCATTAGTATGATGGGTCGTTGAAATCAGATTTTCAGGGAGAATTCAAAAATGAAATAAAATATAGGGTGTTCCTATGAAAAAACATAACTTTGATGTGCTGTGATCTTACGGAACACCCTGTGTATTTCAAAGGAATTCTGAAATGTGAAGCTCGGTTATTACTTCAATTTTGATTCATGAATTTTCTTTGTATCTCTCAAGACAATAGAGAAATCGAACTCTGGAGTCTTAGTTGGCCACCCTGTACATACACTGATTGAAATTATCATTTACTGTGAAATGCAGTAAGAAAACTTTCATGAAACAGAGTATTAATGATTCAAGATCCTCTACTGAAGAATTCAAACTCGAAAAATATCACAATGACCTATAAACAGACATTCAATGTACTTTCCATTAGTTACTTGAATATCCGCAAGAGGGCGTATCGCTTATTTTGAATCGCCTATAGTCTGAGGTTAAGACTGACCTTTCTCATTGAAAGCCCCATCGACAATAATTCCCTCGAAATCCCTCAGCTCGACCTCTTCCCTTTCTCTCTCATCCAACAACCGTTCCAAATGCTTCACGATAACCTCGCTGCCCGCATTCGAAATAAACACGAACACGGCTCGGGTGTAATCGGCACCGTCAACGAGAGCTCGGTGGTCGAGCATCGGCTTGATGCTGTCGAGGAGTCTGTCGGGCATCTTGTCGATTTCGTCGAACACGAACAGCTGTTTGGGGCAATCGGTGACGTTGGATCTGAGCCAAGCAAGCAGCTCTTCCTGGGAATAGGAATAGTTTATGAATCATTCGAACACCAGACCTTCAATGCCTCTCAGTGACTATCAAAAATTTCTAATGATTTACAATGACTACCCAGATAACACATAGACAACCTCCAAACATAACGCCAATTGACAGTCATATGTCCGAGATCACCTTTCGCCAACGTACCTACTATAAGGAAGATTTTATTGGGTCTCAACACCAACAAAGCTTGTGGCTCGATTGTACTCAAGAAATGTGCACCCGATCTAACACCTGTTCTCTGCAAGTTGTTCAACTACTCTTACAAATTGGGAATATTTGCGTTCAACTGGAAAATTGCAAGAGTACAACCAGTTCCTAAAGAAGACAAAAAGACCCAACCTAGTAACTACAGACCGATCGCACTGCTATCTATTATTTCAAAGATCATGGAGAAGGCTATCAACATCGAGCTCATGAAATACCTGGAACATTCAGGTATTATCAACGATAGGCAATATGGCTTCCGTCATCAGAGATCAACTGGTGACCTGCTCGCTTACGTCTCACATATGCTGCCATATATCTATTGAAAAATATGGTGGAACCTTAGCCGTGGACTTGATATCTCCAAAGCATTCGATCGAGTCTGGCACCACGGACTCCTCGGCAAGCTTCCATCTTATGGCTTGCCTCCCCAGCTATGTTCTCTGCTAGCTAGTTTTCTCTTGAACAGGTCTCTCCATGTAGTGGTCGACGGAGTTTCATCTGACTCTCTTACCATAAATGCTGGTGTTCTGCAAGGATCAATTCTAGCACCAACACTATTTCTACTCCATATCAACGATTTGTTGAAAGCAACTTCATGTCCAGTACACAGCTTCGCGGATAATAGTACCCTCCATACCGCCTTCTCTTCCAGGGCTCCAATTCCAGCCAGGCAAATCAGAAACGAACGAGAGAGAAATGTTGACAACATAAATATGGACTTGGCAGCAATTCTCGAATGAGGATCCAATATCTTGGTAGATTTCAATGCAAACAAAACACAAGCATGCCTTTTCTCTAGAAAAGCCGATCTCACTGTGCCAAACATAAGCATACCTTTGAAGACATCCATTTCGATGCTTGGTATTACTATCAGCAATAACCTTTCTTGGGAAAATCACGTGAGATCAATTGCGAAAAGTGCATCCCAAAAACTTGGTTTTTTGTATCGGGCCAGGAGCTATTTCACTTCCAGTCAGCTGCTTATGATCTATAAGGTACAGATCCGACCTGTCCTGGAATACTGTTCCCATATTTGGACTGCAGCACCCAAACATATCCTGAAATTGTTGGATTCTGTCCAAAAAAGGGCAATTCGTCTCGTGGATGATGCCTCGCTCACAAACTCACTCACTTCTCTGGAACACAGTAGAAAAGTTGGCGATCTGGACTCTATTTTATAGATATTTTCATGGACGAGATTAACCCGTCGAGTTGAGGCTTCGCACCCCGCACTTCGGAGACCTGCAGAACATCTCTTTCCAAAGAGTCGTTTATCCAACGAACAGCGAGGCTCTGGAACACATTGCCAAGGGAGGTGTTCCCCAAGGCATATAACCTCCAGAAATTCAAGAAGAACACCAATTCCTACCATTTTTCCCTTGGTTCTCACGATGTTCTCTGAACATTACAGGATATCCCTTTTCGTGGGAACAGAACAAAAAAAATCCAATGGATATTCACTCGACATCCTTCATGAATTCCATGTATATACTATAAACATCCAATTTTTATCCAAGAAGTATCTTATGGACGTCCGATGGATGTCCAAAGCGCACCAACCTGTACATCCATATGGATTACCTTCAAGGATACCTATAAGATATCCTCCGAAAAGGTCCCCTAAGATATCTTTCCAGTCTTGTTGGTGTTGATCCACAACTTTGAAGATATATCTCCCTATGGTTCGGTTCATTCGCTTCACCATGCCATGCAATGGAGTTGGTCTTGTCTTCTTGATTCCTAACTTGTCACTCATATTCGTGAACACTTCACTCTCGGAGTTCCGGCTCTGATCAGAGTAAATTTCCAATGGCACCCCAAAACAACTGATGAGTTGATTCATTAGGACATCGGCAACAGTTACGGCCATCTGGTTAGGGATCGCATATGCCTCCACCAACTGGGTCAAGTAGTCCATGCATGCAAGAATGTATTTATTTCCAATATCAGTGGGTGATAATGGCCTAGCAATATCCATGGCAATACTCTCGAAAGGGCATTCGACATTGTACTGTATCATGGGGGCCCTTGGTTTACGATGAGGCCCATTGCTGGCAAAGTATAAAGTGCATTTACGGCACCACTGCTTGACATCGTCACTGCATTTCACCCAGTAGAACCGCTCACGTACCCGCTGCAGTGTCTTCTTCACTCCTAGATGTCCCCCTGAAGTTCCATCATGTACATACATATCCAAGTACTTCCGACACTCGGCTCCTAGCAATTACTAACCGTCATCGGTTATTCGACCCGTCATCGCTCTCGAGATTTCCCTTCAGCAGGTCGTCTTCTAATATCATGGAGTCCCACTGACTCCAGTAGATTAGATTAGATTAGATTTGGAATGGGGCCTTCGGGCTATCTGCCTCCACACTGCGACCTTTTCAGATCTATTGTGTCTGCCCTCAAAATCGATTAGAGTTCCTCGGCTAGCCCCGCCTTCTCTATGAGACTCCATAGGCTAGCTCTCAGATCTCCTGTGTATCTCTGGGCTCCTGGTTTTTCCTCACCCAGCGTAAGGAACTTTAGTCTTGACAAGCCCTCACAGTGGCAAAGTATGTGTACTGCTGTTTCTTCCTCTTCTTGACAGAACCTGCACAGCAGTTCTTCAGTCAGACCTATCGTACTCATGTGTTTGTTGAGCCTACAATGCCCTGTGAGAAGTCCCACTAGTATTCTAGTTGAACTTCGTTTCTGGCCTAGTAGATATTTTGTGAATGTTGGCGATGGTTTTTTAATAAACTCTTTAGCCTGTCTCATTCCTGGCGAGTTGTTCCACCATTCTTGAGACTTGGTTTGCATCCATGATTTGATACTAGTCTTTTGTATAGCTTTCGCATTACCATTACCATTTCGCATACCTCGTACCCTGTATGTGCTGGTACCCATGCTAGAGTCAATCTGTTCTGACTGCCCAGTGCACTGACTCCAGTATGCCTTCAAGGTCTGTGAAGATGGTGCTACTTCTTGCCAAGAAGGGCGGCGATTCGCTTTCTTCCTTTCCCGAAGCTTCCGAAGTTCTGGGTCCTTTTCTTGCTCTTGCTTGATTGCTGCAGGTAACCAATCTTCATTGACAACGGTGGTTCTGCAGAGGGCTGCTTCCTTATCCTCCAAACGGCTATAATGTGAGCACTCAGGTGGGCATGATCTTCTGGACAATGCATCTGCATTTTTATGGCTCGTCCCCACTCGGTGTGCTATCTCGAAGTCATATTCCTAGAGCCTCACGATACAACGAGCTACTTGGGCTAGGTTATTGAAATTTTGGAGCCACTTCAATTCAGCGTGGTCAGTTCTGAGTAGTGATGGGGATGTTACTTTTAGATGAATTTTCATTAAATAAGTTCGGAACTCTTCAGTTTTATGCCCACGATGTACAGAATGGCGACCGATAAGTCCAAAGTAACGATAGTGAAAAATTATTGATTCTATCGCAAAATATCATAATTTACCTTCATTAGTAATCAATTACATTCAGCCAATGAGAGATTTGTGGGAATTATTCATAATACTTGGCATAGTAAGATTGAAGAACCTATCCCATTGCTCTTATGATGCAATTATGCATTCAAAGAACAATTTCCAGAAATCTAGACATATTGATGATGACGGCAACGTCCTACTGGCACAGAGAATCGTATTTTAACTCTGTGTGAATGTGGATTTTCAGACAGTACGTCATAAGAATGGTGGAGGAGCCAAGTTCCTATTTTATTTATTTTTCTCTGAAGTGAAATTCAATAATAATAATAATAATAAATAAGATATTTATTGAGGAAAGTATAGTATACAAATATATAAGGATCAAAGTACATTAAAGAGAATAAATATCACAATGCGATAAGTGTAAAACACTTGTTTCGCTTGATAATTAAATAACTTAACCTAAAAAGTAGCGGGTATAAATATCACAAGGCGATAAGTGTAAGAGCACTTGTTTCGCATAATAATAAAATAACTTAACATTAAAAATACAGATGAGTAATAGAATTAAAGGAAAGTGATATTAATAACAGTGTTACGAAGAAAATTAGGAAAGTCAATACAGATATTATTGTTACAAAAATATCTAAATAAAAACAAGAGGGTAGTAAGCCAACACCATATTTATTAATCTTATTTTTTTATATCATATCCGAAATGTTTCGTCGTGGTTGACTCGAGATGAATTGTTTCAGGGCTTTTTTAAACGAGTGTGAATTACTTATTTTTTGTATGTGTTGTGGGACGGTATTGTACAATTTTGGTGCTATATATTGATAACTTCGTTGGCCTATAGCTTTCTGCATTTGTGGAACTACGTGATAATATTTTTTCCTTGTAGGGTATGGATGATTGGGTAGGTTAAAACGTTTATTTTGATGGTATTTTATATTAATTTGAAGATAAAAAAGTTGGCGTATGTCTAACACTTTGGCTTCGTGGAATAGTGCGTCAGAGGGGTATCTGGACTCTTTGGACATGATAATTTTAAGAAACCTTTTTTGCAGATTTTCTAAGGTACGAAGATGTGTTTTTAATGCGCCTCCCCAGCATATTATGCTATATCGTAGGTGGCTTTCCACCAAAGCATGATACAAGATTTTGAGTTGGTAAAATGGTAAAATACTTTTCAAATACTTGAATTTGTGAATGATGGATCTCAATTTGTTGCATATATAATTCAGGTGTGCATCCCATTTGAGGTTTGTATCTATTATAACGCCTAAATATTTAACTTTCTCCTCTGGCAGAATATTGTGCTGTTGTCCTGTGGTGTTTATCGTTAGACTTTTGAAAGGTGGAGTGCTCGATCTGTTGCAACTAAATGGCATATAATATGTTTTTTCTAGGTTTACAGTTAGTAACTTGTGTTCTAGCCAGTTCTTTAATAAAGGAAAATCTGATTCCACAATGACTTTCAACTCATGCCAAGTATTCGCTTTATAAAAGATGGCTGTATCGTCAGCAAATCCCAATATTTCTCCTCGACTCTGTAACGAAAACATGCCATTCACATAAATACTAAATAGGATAGGGCCTAATACGGTCCCCTGAGGTACACCATACTCTATTTTTCTCTTGTCACTCTGTACATTGTCTACTCTCACTGATTGGAATCTATTGTGTAGATAATTTCTAAATAACTCAAGGCAATTATTTCTAATTCCAATATCTTCCAGTGTCAGTAGGAGTAGGTCATGACTCACGGAATCGAACGCTTTTGATAAATCGATGAAAATACACAGGTTTGGCAAATTTTCTTCCAGAGCGGCGGATATCCTTGAGGTAAGTGACAACACAGCGTCTTGCGTAGAGATATTTTCTCTGAAGCCATACTGTTGGTCAGATATCAGATTATATTTTGTTAAGTAGGCAGCAAGTCTTTTCTTAAGAATTCTTTCAAAAATTTTTGTAAGGTGCGTGATTAACGAAATTGGTCTGAAATTTGTAATTAAAGTCTCATCGCCTTTTTTGAATACAGGTATAACAACAGTTTCCTTAAACGCTTCAGGCCAAGTTCCTTTTTCCATACAATTATTTATAATGTAGGTGAGCGGTTCCTTAATATAATGGCAAATGGACTTGATAGTTTCAGCTTGGATTTCATCTACGCCGGCTGACTTATTTTTTAAGTCTCTAACGACGTTTTCTATTTCATTGCCGTCTGTTGGAAGAAGAACAAAAGAATTAATGGAAATATTTCTGTGCGGTATATAGTTTGGGTCTCTTTGTATTTTTTCAGCCATTTTTCTTCCTATTTCAGTGTAGACTTTGTTAAAATTATTTGCGATTGTTTTCTTTTCCTTTATTAATTCCCCGTATTCGTTTTTAATTGAAACTATATCCATTTTCTTCTTTTTAGTTTTACTAATTTCTCCCACAATTTTCCAAAGTGTTTTTGTATCACTGATATTGGTATTTATTTGGCGTTGATAATAGTCAAATTTGGCCTTTTTAATCAATTTTGTTAATTTATTTCTATAATTGTTATAATATGTTCTTAGTTGATAATTATTAGGATCTCTTCGCGTATTTCTGAATATTTTATTTTTTGTGTCAGTTGATTTAACCAGAGCATTCGTGATCCAAGGTGCTATTTTGATATTTTTCCGTTTGACTCTTTTAATAGTTGTACAGTCGTTTATAGTACGTGTGAGAATTTCTAGGAATTTGTTTGTTGCAGTGTCGGGGTCAGTCTCGTGATATACCGTATGCCAGGAGATATTTTGCAGGGTGTTTTGTAATTTTTCATGATTGAGATATTTCTTACAAGTGATTTTGTTAATAGTTGGTTTGTCGTCATCAAGAATCATTTGCAATGCAACGGTATAATGGTCCGTAGTATTTGTTTGAACTATCAGAGGCATTATGCGATCTGTTATATTTTGTTCAGATTTAACAAATATATGATCAATGCAAGAACCATTGTTATATTGTACTCTTGTTTCATTATTTATTACAGAAATATATCCAGATTCGTTCATAGTATTTAAGTATTCACTGCAACATTCATCGTTTTTTAGAATATCGATGTTTAAATCACCAATGAGAATGGAATATTTGGTATTTTTTAGATCATTCGTTCGTAAATATTCGTGTAAATCCGCAATGAATTCTATTGTGTTTAAAGAAGGGGATTTGTAAATTGCGGTTACCTCCATATTACTATTTTCACTGGATTCAACTTTGAGTTGGATAGCTCTCGTGGCATTTATTTGCACTACTTTATAAGTATATGTGAATTGCGATTTGATGTATAGTATAACACCATCATTTTGGTTATAATTTCCTTCATTATATATTAAGTCGTATCCCGGAATATTAAAAAGCTCAGGGTTTTGTACAAGCCACGTTTCCGTCAATACAACACAATCGATATCAGAATCAACACTATCCATAAATATTTTGAATTCATCGAAATTTTTATTGATACTTCTTATATTATTATGGACAATGTTGAACGTTTTATGTTGTTGGTTTATTGCTAAAATTTGATTGAATTCATTGTGATCTTGTAGGGTGAAGGTTTGTATTTCTTCGGTTTCAAAATCGCGTATGTATTGTTCCATATCGGCTGTCTATTGTCGGTGCTACTAATTTTTTTTTTTTAAATTAATACAAAAAACATTCTAAACATATATCTAAGATCATATAGAAAAGGAGTTCAGATAATTTCTGAGTTTCGAGCTTATCTGTAAGAGCGTGTTCTCGGTTTGATTATTTCATTTTCTTTCAAAGGTTTTTTGGTAACTGGAACCTTAGGGGTAACTGGATTTTTCTCTGCTGGAGGTAGATTGTTCTTCATAGGGGATGTCTTCGTAATAGGGGATGGAGTTGGGGTTGCAGGTGCACTATTGTGCTTATTATTGTCCTGTTGATGGTCTTGTTCTAGAAGATCGTCTGCCTTATATGCTACTCCTTCTACGTAAAGCCTGTCACCCCTGATATAGCAGTCCTTATATTTTTCTTCCTGTTTAGCAAGAAACAGGTGTTTCCTGAGTATTTTCTGTTCAAATCTTTGTTTTTGAGTCAAGTCCTGCACGATAGATATGTTTTTGCCTTTCAATTTCTTACAGCTTTGAAGTACGTGCCTTTTTTTAATATTTGACAAGAATTCAATCTTGATAGGGCAATTATCTGATTTTCCTAGTGGATAACAGTCGCTGAGATCGATTTCCTTCAATTCGACGTCGAGTAGTCCATTCAGATCTGTACACAAGTTATGTGGTGTGATTTCTTCCTTTTTCTTGTTCAGACCGAATATTATTATGTTCTTTTTGTTTTGGGCTCGCTTCAGGTATTCTACTTCTTCGTTCAGTCTTTTGTTTTCTTTTTCCAATTGGGAAGTCGTGTTCTTCAATTCTTCGAATCTTACGAAAAAAAGAAAGAATACGTATATATTAATTTTTTACAAACTTCACAGTGAGATAAAAACCCCATTTCCGTCTGTAGAGGTATTTCCTCCTGGTAACACAGTATCGTTCTGCCTTTGATATCACCTTGCTGAAGTAACCAATGACTCCCTCTCGCCCATCTTGATACTGCGTAAGGACTCCTCCGATGCCGATATTGCTGGCATCTGTGTCAAGAAGGAATTGTCATCATTTTTCAAACTACTTATAATTATATCAAAGGAAAAATACAAAAAACTCAAAGTCAGTTGACCACAACAAATTTATTACATAAGACATGTAACTAGTTTCTGCCCTCGGCCATCATCAGACATATTAAATAAAGCACCTGTAAGGAACAACCATGAACAATTTATACAAAAGCTACTGAATGAAAGGAATCTCACCATGTGCAGCAATAATTATATAATTGACAAACAACAAATCAATCCAAACATTTGCCAAGTTCAGTCAGTAATTTCTGCCAACAAATAGCACAGGATGTTTCAAATGCAATATGAGTGATAGTTGAGGTGATAGTCATTCCTTCTGAACTCCTTATTATGGTTTTTTAGAAGAAAGAAGAGGATCACTCCATCAACTTCTTCAAAGAGGTTAGGTAGGATAAAATCCAGGATGAAATATAACTTTTCATTCTGAAATATATCATGAGAAATATCAAGATGTGTGTGCGATATCCCACTTTGTTTATCTTCTGTCCTTCTGAACTGTCCTAGTTGAATATTTTGGTTGGTTCAGAATAAAAGAATATCAATGATCAATAGAAAAGATCAGCATTGACAGAGAAAACCCCATTCTGTCCTACAGAGTTCTGTTCTAATGTAAAATAATGAAAATTCCTGAACATTCTAGTTCAGCAACACTAAAAATGAGAAGAAGGCCCTTTTAACTTTCCTCAAATTCTTATATTGAGGATGAAATGGTTGAAGTTATCTCAGTTTGATTTGATTTCTGAAAGTATTCTGTCTCTCAAAAACACCTTCTGTTCTCACCTTGTATTCTGTCTCCTTGTTCTCCAATGTGAACTGTTTCCGGCCATGGAAATGATGGAAATACTGGCTTTTTGTGCCACGTTCAAACATGCTTTCAGCTATCAAGTTGGAAACATAAGTCTTTCCACTTCCTGTCCAGCCATGGAAACTCATAACCAATGCCTTTGTTGGTTTATATTGCATGTTCCAATGCGAGTTCAATGCATCTACCACTGTACTAATCAGAGGCTGTCCATAGATTTGCCTTTTAATTTTTTTTCTCAAATCTGTAAAAATTATATTTTATGTGTACATATATTATCACAGTATAATAAATGAGTTACTTTCTATGTCTCCAGGAATGTAATAATCATTGCAACATTCAAGGAACCAACAAACAGGTTTTGCATTCAAAAAACTAACAGTTTTTTGAACAGTTCTCCTTGGGTTAGAACTCATAACCCATTCTTTTGTGGATTGGAAACTAGAAAGAGAGCTAGATTCTAACTTAGACCATACTGAGCAGGGCTCTTTCCTTATTTTCTTCTCTTCATTTCTCTTTGAACATGAACCAACCCAGCACACTGGATTGTATTCCTGAGGAAACCATGATTTTTCCAATCCTACATCAAAGTTGTTCCAAAAATTATTTTGATTTGTTTTTTCTTCCTCTTTTTGTTGGTTACAGTCATAAAACCAGCAATAGGGTTTGTGGATGAATTTGTAGAAAGATCGTTCATTCTTTTGAGGTTGCGACCAGTCCTGAATCAATCTGTAAGGATTCCAGATTTTCCAAGTTAGCTCTTCTGGCTTATTTCTTGGACATCCCCAAACAGCACAGTAAGGATTGTAATTAGAATAAAATGTATTCCTCCACGTCGATGATGGATCATGGATTTCGCATTTTCTAAACCAACATATAGGATTATAACTCCAACAGTCTGTAAATACCAAAGGAATTAGTAAAAACGTGGAAATAAAAGATATGAACATCTCCGCACTTTGTAGACCGGCAAAAACAAAAACAAAATGACTAACCTACTAACTTTTCTTTGACAAAACAGCTGGAAAAAGCAATAAAAGTAGGAACTTGCCAAAACCGAAACACGGCTATTTAAGAAATTGGTTTCACTTCCGCCATGTGGACTGTTACTCACAGTAGAAAATCGTAAGTGTCTCTATGACCGGCGCCGGGTACGTGTCGAAAGAGGAAGAATCACTTAGGCCAGAGATAAGTTACTCTCTGCTTAGGCTGTGTCAAGTCATTCGTCACTTGACATCCATCAAAAGTTAGCGTGGTAACTTTGTGGGCAAGGTTTGAAACGTGACCGATATTCCCAAACAGCTGGTTGGTCAGACTGATGGTCAGACTTCATACTGAACGTATGTGCCCGGTCAAACCACAGACTTGACACAGCCTTACATTAACAACCTTGGACATTAACTACTACCTAGACCGTCAATGTCATGAGAGAGAAGCTATGCCATTTCCAAGGCTATTCAACTCCAAGGCTATTTTTCAACTCTGCCATTTCCACTTGCGAGATCGTATTCGAGAAAGGGAAAAAAGTCTATGCGCATTCAGGACCTGCTTTACCATTATTGTATATCTTACTCTTACTTATGTTTCTGTTTCTGAACATCATGAAACATGATGCATTGATGTCATGAACGACTGTTTTTGGCTCAGTGGTCTGTGACTGTGTCTGTGGTTTGATGGTTCCTGTCCTGTGCGTTGAGCAGAAGCGTTTTCAGGATGATATTTCGGGTTGCTGCCGTTGATGATAACTAAAGGTCTGTAGAGGAATAACTGATGAAATACAAGAGTTTTTCCTCAAAATTGTTTGAGAAAAGATCCTAACGGGTTATAAATTGAAAATATGATGAATATACTACTACTAAAATATACAAACTAAGCATTCATATCGGATATCGAATGAAATTTAGAATGAAAAAGGGTGATTGGTTCGAAAACTGAGACCACTCCAACCAATGACGGCTAAATATCAAGAAGATATCAAGTAAGCTGCCGACATGATCAGGCAGCTCACTTGATATTTAGCCGTCATTGCTCCAACAAACCTTTCGTATCGGATGAAATCCCAAATATGACTACTAACATAATTATTGGAATTGTCAAAATAAAGTGTGTTTAATAAATCAGATTGATCTTCTATCTAAAATTGCCGTCGCTGGCTATCGAGGCACGCTCATCATTGTTCGTTGTCAAATGTCAATAGTCAATATTGTCATATTTCAACTTTCAATTTAAAGTGTTAGTGCAGTCGATTTTTCTGCAATTTTTTAGTTTATTTATCCCTAATCTGAATATTTCCTTTATTTTCTCTTAATCATCTCAATGTTGATATGTGTTTGCATTTAATCAGTTTGTTTTATTGAAAACATTATTCGACGAACGTCCCGAAACCAAAATTTTCGTCTCTAAAGTGTTCTAGGGGTGCTATATGAAGTTGATGATACGCAGAATTCCAATAAATCATCTATGCAATCAAGCCTGTAATAACATGTAAAGCTTCATTCAAATATGAAGAAACAGTTTTTCCGTGTGAAGCAACTAGCTGACCAAACATTTCTAAAGTAAGTAAATTTTAGAGATTAAAGGGGGAATACCAGTAGACCTGTTACAGCAGCCAGAAATATTTACTAGTCAGGACACTCCCAATTCGATTAGCTAATAAATTTGTCAACATTCGTCCAGTACAATTTTTTTGTATATCTCCTCTGTTTGCACTGTCCTTAGATTAAGGAACCTACAACACTATTATCAATTCTTTGAATTGTTATCTACTAAACAGATTTGATAGTCACTAATAGGTACTCAAAAGTGTTCTTATAAAGCCTACAATCCATCAATCATGCAATTTTATTTTGTGTGGTAGGATTATTATTATATTATATATTATTATGGACTTTGTGTAACAAACACTGAATTGGATAATTTATAATATTACATGAAATGATAAATGATATCATCAGCATTTTTTAATCATATTCCTATATCTGATATTCATGTTCAATATGGATATCTTGATGGAGATTATCATGAGGAATATTAGGTAGGGTCTCATAGAAGAGATTCCTGCAGAGGAATTTTCAAGTAGAAAAAACTCCTGACTGTATCAGCAATTTATATCTTTGAGCTTATTAAATTCATTATCAATCATCCAGAGCATTTCAACACACATCAAAATATCTATGATACAAGACAAAAAAAAAATGTTTCTCATATCCCATCCATGCAAAATGCATTTATGAACACAGTACTATCACTATCTATAGCACAATGAAATTTTATAATAACCTTCCAGAAGAAATAAAAGATATTGTGGTTGCTGATAGATTTCTGAAGGCTGTTAAGGAATTTCTATGCAACTTAGAGCCCTACAGTATGGAGAAATATTTTCTGGCCTGTAGGAACCCATAAATGAATTTTTATTCAAAACCATGCTATCTATATATGTATTTATTGAAAAATTAGGTACTTATGTCTATTTTAATCTACATGTGGAATATGTCACTTATTTTTTATTGTTTTAATAGTGTTTGAAACTTATATCTAAAAACTCATGTGAATGTTTCATATCATCAACTTATTGATAATTCTAGAAGTTCTTCTTGAAGAATATCTCAAACAAAAATATTCTGCCACTTTTGTGAATGATTATAGAATACTCTGTTGAAATACATTTATCTATCTATCTATCTATCTATCATAATTATTGTCATTGTAAAGCAAACATACTCATTTATGGTTCATTCATGCACTTCTCTTTCACTGTTTTCTTTGCAATTTCATTATTTTACAGTTTCAAATGTTGCTTAATAAGTAGATAAATTTAAACCCTCATTCATCAGTACCCAGGAAAAACAAAATAATTGTTTATATCCTCGTTTATATCATTATAAAAACATTGAAAATTACCTTAGTTATGTCTGATCCCTCAAAAAATTCCAGATCATCATTATACCTATTTGTTAAATTTCCACAATGGTGCTAGTTCAATCTATAGTCCCTGTATGTATTAAACAGTTTTGCTGTAATGCAAAACTGTCCAATACACACATAAAATGCAAAACAAAATTATCCTGGAAGAACAGGAATTGATTGCAAAACTACATAATGAAATTGAAAATTTGTGAAGGAAACTGAGGAAATCAAGAAAATTGCAAGATATCATTGAATATGTGTCTATTTTGTAATATTAAAATGTTGGTTCATGCATTCTTCTCATTTTTAGAACTGTTGTTCTGTGAAAAGTTCCATTTACCTATAAATTGAAGTGGGTGTTAAAAGGTACCCTATTTCTATTTTCTATCTATAGGTGGCGTGCACGATGACGGACCCTGGAGGCAAAATATTGAAACACAACCTCACTCTTCTGTGAATTATTGAAACACAACCTCACTTTTTTATTTGTTTACAGAGGAATCAAAAGGTTGAAATAGTTTTTCACAATATTTTGGCATACGAATCGTGTTTCTTGCATTATTCAATAATTCAAGCATGCCTTTGCATTGTGCTGTTGTACAATGCACAAAAAATGCAGCAAGAGACTAGGGAATATGATTTTTCAGGTAAATAGTAATCTCACATAGTTATCATTATGAAATGTTGTCATTCCTTATTAAAATTCCTTCTGCCTTCTGCTACTTCTGCAATACAAGCTAATACAGATTGAAAATGTCTACAACACACACGATCGTCAGCATGTCAGACCAGTCCTCCCGATTGATTGGATGAATCCAATCTTCTTGCATTATTCTAGAAATTTCAGGTATATTTCTATTAGCTCCTATTGCAGAAGGAATTCTGATGAGAGATCAGAGAAATAACCAAATTTCAAAAATGAAAACTATATGTGAGTGACTATAGTAGGTACTTACTTTTAAATCATAATGTACCATCCGAATTCCTTCATCTTCCGCTGCAGTTTTTGTGCATTTTACAACAGCACAATGTGATGGCATGAGCGAATTGATGAATAGCGGAAAAATACCATTCATATGCCAAAATAATTGTGGAAAACTATTTCGATCACTTGTAAACAAATAAGAAAAGTGACGTTGTGTATCAATGTTTTGCCTCCAGCGTCGGTCATCTGACAGTTCTTGCACGCAACCCATGGCTATGATTGATTTGACTGAAAATGTAACCTCTAAAATTGTATCTGATAATCAGGTGCTACTAGGGATAATGAAAAGACAAAGAGTATAATATATATCTTATTCTTTTATTCACTCAAGCATTGTAATTTAGAAAATAGAAGAGGACAGAAGTTCAGCTGTGTTGGAACTCTTTATCTACCAATATCATCCAGTGACTCTACTTCTTTATATGTTAAGTTACATACCTATTCCAGATTCTAGAGTGGACCAAAAAATAGTATCAGTGAATAGATAGATGGATAGATAGTTAGAATAAACATTGATTAAAAAGCAAATAGGTTCACCAGTAGGTTTATTATTTGACTTATATAATAAAATGGTCATCCACCTAATTCAACCTCCTTCCTTTTTCATTAAAGTTCCTTCACTCATCACAATAATTAATTTTTCCACATGCCCAAATCGGACATTTTGAAAAATTTAACCAATACAAATGCATGATTCTAGGGTATTGATAAAACCGCTCCTCTCTGATAAAACAATGGAATCAAGTTTCAATTCTCTGAGAAAACAAAACGTAATCATTTTCCTCATTCCACTTAATAACACAAATAATAATGTGTTCCTTCATTCAAATATTATATTATACTATCCAATCGGTTCAGCCGTTTAGAAGTTATGTGAAGAAGATGACTACGGAATATCGTCTTACTATACCCGTTCGTCTTTTGGACACTTTTTGAAATCATTTCGAAACGAAACATACAGGGTGTCCCAGAAAAAAGCAATCCGCTGAAGTTATACTTTTTTAATGGAACACCCTATATATTATTCTATTTTGAGATTCTCCCTGAAGAGCTGATTTCAACGACCCATCGCACTTGGGGTCTAGCAGTGATGATTACTGAGATATAGGGTGTGAAATATATAGGGTGAAAAACGAGATTTCCCAAGTTTAGGGATTATTTGTGTCCAAACTATACATAGTTGGTCAAAATGGTACACACATCCCTATCTCAATTTTTCATCAACTATCGATTGGTATTTTATTGAAATAGATACAGGGTGGTCAAAAATCTTGATTCTGAAGCAACCAGTATTTGTTTTAATTAAATATCAATTGACATTTTAACCGTTTTGACCAATAAAGGATAGTTTTGACACAAAATATTCTTGAACTTGGAAAATCTCGATTTTTCACACCCTATATCTCAGTAATTATCATTGCTAGACCCCAAGCATGATGAGTCGTTGAAATCAACCCTTCAGGGAGAATCTCAAAATTAATAATTTATAGGGTAATTCATTAATAAAAGTATAAATTCAGTGTATTGTGATTTTTTGGGAACACCCTGTATGTTTGAAATAGTTTCTAATGGTAGCCTATGTTGACATGCAATTTCTTAGAGAGGAAGAATTCCAAAAAGATGAGTGGTTAGCCTTCTAGAGACCGAGACATTACTGGTGGCCCACCCTGTATATGAAGAAAAAGTCTTCTTTTGATCCGAATAATACGTCCTTAAAATATTTACATCGAATTTTGGATCACCCTGTATAGTTGGTGGTCGCTACAATCGTGTTTCAGAATTTTCGCAACCGTGTGATGATATTACTCTCCTGATAGAAAAAAAAAATGCCTGATATTATCAACTGATTTTTTGCAGTTTTAATCGATCATCGTTGACCGAAAATGGTTATTTTTGTATCTAGAGCGCGAAATGCTACTTTGGTGATCGAGATCTCGGCTACGCCTCGTTAAAAAAATAGTCGAGATGACCAAAGTATTTCGCCCTCGAGTTGCAAACGAAATTTTTTCTACAAACGTCAAAAAATATAGTTCTAAAGTGAAAATATGCTTAGCTCGATATAAAAAATAGTGTTGAACTGGCTTAAAAGGTCTCCCCCTATCCTCTCTATAGGTACGCACGATGTTTCACGAACATAATAGGAATTTCCTTTCGTGCGCTCCGAGAGAAAAAACAAAGTTATTGTTGAACATTCAGAAATAAATGATTTTGTGGATGTCGGCTCGATTGAGGAACATAAAGTTGAAATATAAATATCTCATATATTTTACATAACAATGCGCGAAGTAGGTACTTCGCGCACTGTTTTACTTCGCGCATTGTTTTGTGCAAGGAATCAAGGTAACGTAGGAAACTGAAATAAAGTGTCACTTCGCAATTTGTTATCAATGCGCGAACCTTGTCATTTTTTGACGTTTGTAGAAAAAAAATATTAAATCAGTCCAGAAATAGGAAAATATAAGGGTGATGTTGTTCAAAGTCGGACACACTGTATAATATGTTGTGATTACGTGAATATTTTTGTTTGTTTCAAGGGCAGAAAAGAGTGATATATTCAACCATGGGGAACTGCATATTGCCGATCAGAAAGTCGAATATTTGAGAGCCGCCCTTAGTGCCATCACCAAAAAAATTGCCCCTAATGGAGTTTTGGCAGATGTAGAAAAATTAATGGTGAGCAGCTATTATTAATAATATTATTTATTTATTTTGATGATAATGTTTATTACTACTTGGAAAGTGATTTTACAATGTACAGGCTGATTCACGGTGGATGGCATATTAGACGTTTCTGGAGAACGCAACTCAGGATTATTCTGAAAATTTGGTGCCTTAGATAGTCAGTTGTGCTCTATCGACCTAAAATATTCTCAGCGCTGCGACGTTGTCGCTTAAATTGAAAAGCACCAATAAGAGCTGATTTCATCGACCTATAACACTTGGGGTCTAGCAGTGACAATAACAGAGATATAGGGTGTGAAAAATCGAGATTTTTCAACACTTAAGATTTTTTTGTGTCGAAACTATTCATAATTGGTCAAAACGGTTTCCATGTCCCTATCTCAACTTGTTATTTACTATCAATTGATATTTAACCACCCTGTACCTATTTCAATTGAATAGAAAAGAAAAGAATTTCAAATGTAGACAGGAAAGATCTTAGTTATATTCATTGTACTGAAGAGTTTATTAATGAAGAAATAAATGATGTTCAAGTTGATGAAAGTTATTCTACTCATTTTATTGACGATGACATTGTTTTTATAATGATAAATGAAAATCGACTGAACACTTTATCAAATACTGGCTCTAACATTGATTTGTTTCATGAAAATGCAGCAAAAAAAATGAAGTTACCAAAATTCGAAACAAATATTGTCATCAGAAGTTTGGGTGATATGAGAAAATTTTCTCATAACACAAATTTCAAATTCATACATCTACCAAGTATGAATAGATTATACAAAGTGGTTCATAAATTAATTATGACCGAAGATTTTGCCAAGACCAAGATAGCATCCTGTATCTCAGTTATAAAAGACGGTAGACACATCAAAGAGGGATTTTTTTTATCGCTTGGAGCGCACAAAAGGATAATCTGGAACCATCAAAGTATCCAAAGTATCAAAATTATATAATAGTTTACCAGAAAATATCAAAAGTAATACTAATTTGAGACATTTTAAATTAAGTCTTAGAGCACACATCAAAAGTAGACCAATGACAAAAATCTTATGAACCACATAACTATCTACCTCCATTCCTATGATAAAATTGCCATAATATGTAAGTATAAAGATATTGTTTCATCAAGATAATTATTATTTATAATCCTTCAAGAATTACTATAAGAGTATTACTAAAATATACCTATTTAATTCTAGTTTTGCTTTAAATAATTTTATATTCATAGTTCATTTCTTTTGTTTTTGTCACATATAATGTACTTACTTTTATATACAGGCTGATTCACGGTGGATGGCACGTTAGACGTTTATGGAGAACGGAACATAGGAGCATTCTGAAATTTTGGTTACTCACGTAGTTGCTCTTGGTCTATCGATCTAAAATATTTTCATCTCTGCAGCGTTGCCGCTTCTATCGAAAAGTAGCAACAACTTTGTTATTTTAAATGGAACACCCTGTATTTTATTGCATTTTCAGATTCTCTCTGGAGAGCTGATTTCATCGATGCATCACACTTGGGGTCTAGCGGAAATGATTACAGAGATATAGGGTGTGAAAAATCGTCATTTTTCAACTTTAGGAATTTTTTTTGTCGAAACTTCATTATTGGTCAAAAAGGCTCACATGTCCCTATCTCAACTTTTGATCAACTATCTACTGACATTTAATTGAAACAAATACAGGGTCGTGCAGAATTCAGAATCTTGATCACCCGGTATATGTCCCAATTAAATATCAGTAGATAGTTAATCAAAAGTTGAGATAGGGACACGTAAGCCGTTTTGATCAATAATGAATAGTTTCGACAAAAAAATTCCTAAAGTTGAAAAATGACGATTTTTCACACCCTATATCTCTGTAATCATTTCCGCTAGACCCCAAGTGTGATGCATCGATGAAATCAGCTCTCCAGAGAGAATCTGAAAATGCAATAAAATACAGGGTGTTCTATTTAAAATAACAAAGTTGTTGCTACTTTTCGATAGAAGCGGCAATGCCGCAGAACTGAAAAAATTTTAGATCGATAGACCAAGAGCAACTACGTGAGTAACCAAAATTTCAGAATGATCCTATGTCCCGTTCTCCATAAACGTCTAACGTGTGTGTTGTTGAATGTTACATATTTTTATCATGCAAAATGTTATGTGAATTTATAATAATGTAATTGTTTGATATACCACATACAAGTTGCCTTTGCAACTTCTGTGGGCATTTTTAATGTTTATTTATTATAATCATCGTTGAACTATTTTATGATTATTATTTTTTAAAAATAAACATTCATTCATTCATTCATTCTCTATTCAGAGGTATCATATGTACATTTGAATCTGAAACACCCTGTAGAGATCTTGAAGTTGAGATGTTTAACGCATATGTTCATATAAACTGTTCTTCCCAAAATGAGCTAAGCAACCATATCATATATTTTTAGCCATCAATTAAAATACACCCTGTATATATATATATATTTTTTTCAGAAAAAGAATGCCGACTACCAATTGGGCGCCACCTTTTTGGAAGAGAGCCGACAATCTCGAGAATGTCCGCTCTTCCAAAACGTGCTCAAAGAGTGCGGCAGCATGGAGCAGCAGCTCGCTCGGGACTATGCTGAGCACGAGAAGAAAATCGAAGAGTTGGTCTACACTCCATTGGAGAGTGTGATGGAGAACGATTTCCCCAACATACTGAAGCACAAACATAACTTGCGGAAGTATTGTTTGGATAAGGATTCGGCCAGTAATCGATATCAGGTACTTGAATCAATTTGGTTTTCAAGAGAAAAGTGGTACACAGTCAGCAGTTTTACAAGTAATCAATTTGATACAAGACAGACTTGACAAAGGAAATTATATAGTAGATATCTTTATGGACCTAAAAAAAGCATTTGATCCAGTTGGCCATAATATTCTCCTGAAAAACCTTAATTCAATGGGCATCAGAGATATTGGAAACAATTTCTTGAAAACATATCTAGAAAAAAGGACTATCAGTACTAAAATCAATAATTGTGAATCTAAAATAATATAATTATATAAACAAAGGAGTTCCCCAAGGATCAGTGTTGGGCCCAATTCTGTATCTTTTATACATTCAGAACATTTCAAAAATAAATTTAATAGGGAGCTATGCCATATATGCAGATGACAAAGTACTTTTATTTGAAAACAAAAACCTTGTAGTTTTGGAAAACAACATAAATGAGGATTCGAAGGAAATGGAAGAATGGATAGATAGATAGATAGATATATTTATTCATGTTTTTACACTTACGTGTTTACATTCGTCAATGAGTTTATAAGACATCAAATACATATAATGGTCATACGGGCATGATATAGATATAAAAATAGACCTCAATTTATACAGAAATTATAAGCTAAGAATGTAAAGTACAATATAAATAAGTAAATAAGCACAATAAATAAAGACAATTTAAGCATAACTCATCAATTAAAAATGTAAGTTAAAATATAGACAACTAAACACACTAAAAATAGGAATATAAATTACAATCGCAACTAATATATTATTTGAAATTACATTCAAAACTTTATTCTGAGTAGTGAGAGAAGAACTCTTGGTCTGAATAAAAACAATTTTCAGTGAAAACATCCCTCAAAGTTCTTCTAAATTTATGCAGAGACATGCTATTGTCTTTGAGCTCCAGTGGTAAACAGTTGAAGTATTTGTAGGATCTATATAAATAAGATGACTGAGTGCGATGCAGTCTAAAACTTGGCAATCTCAGCAATGACCGAGATCTCGTGAGATGATCATGGGTATCTCCAAGTTCAGCAGTTGTTCCTGCTATTGTCAGCCTTTTGACATGACATAAGCACTCTAGTATGTAACAGCAGGGAAAAGTAATAACTCTGAATTGTTGAAACAGGGGTTTAGCATGAGCATCCCATTTGGCCTTACCCATAACACGTATCACTCTTTTTTGTAGTTTGAAAATGTGTGAAGCATTTGTTGTGCCTCCCCAAAAGAGTATACCATAAGTCATTGTGGCATGAAATGTGCCATAATACGCTACTCTCAAACAATCTGGAGTTGTTTTATATGATAATTGTCTTATTGCATAAATACTTGTCGACAATCGTTTGCTGAGTGAATCAATATGTGCATTAAAAGACAAATGAGTATCTAGAATTAAGCCTAGGTATTTGACTGGTTTGGTATCTGTACATTTCTTATTCACTGAGAAGTCGATTTTTTGAGTTTTTGAATGATTCAAAGTAAGATAATTACTTTGAGTCCATTCTTTCAAGATATTTTCAGAATTAGTAATGCTAAGAGACATGTCATTGGTATATTTATTAGTGAGTAAGAACGTGGTATCGTCTGCATAGATAATGGGAAGAAGATCTGATGACTTTATGCTGGAAGGGAGGTCATTAATGTATATAATAAAAAGTAAAGGGCCCAAAACAGATCCCTGTGGCACACCATAGTTGATTTTCTTATTTTTGGAAATATTTTTGTTGAATTTTATAATTTGTTGGCGACCAGAAAGATATGAGCACAAAAGTTTCAGTGGTGTCCCACGGATGCCATAATATTCCAGCTTACTGAACAGGATATCATGGTGCACAGTGTCGAAGGCCTTAGACAAATCATAAAACATACCACAACAAAGTTCTTTATGTTCAAAAGCTAACCAGATGGTTTCCAATAATTTATTCAATGCGGAAATCGTAGATTTACCCTGCCTGAAGCCAAACTGGTAGATACTGAGAAGTGAATTTTTTTCAAAATAATCGCATAGACGTTTTTTGAGAATGATTTCAAAGATTTTGGATAAAATTGGTATGATGGATATGGGTCTATAGTTCTCAGCTTCATTCTGATCACCGTTTTTGAACACGGGTGTTACAATAGAAAGCTTAAAAATATCAGGATAAATACCAGTGGTAATGCAAATGTTTATGAGATGAGTTATCGGGTCTATCAGGAATTCGCTTACTAGTTTCACTATGCCACTATTCAAATTATAAGCATCTTTAGCTTTTGAATTTTTCAATTGGGATACGATTTCATGAATTTCCTCTCTTGTTACGGGGGATAGAAAAAATGAGTGGCAAACCCTGGGTTCTTTATTCATAAATTCTTTGAATTCGTTTTTGTCAACCTTGCTAAAATTTTGCGTCAATTTTTGCGTTACATCATGAAAATAATTAGCTAAAATTTCACTATCTAAATCAATATCAATATTAATTTCGGCTTTTTTATTCGGTCTGTTCTGGTTGATGATATCCCAGATAGCCTTTTGTTTATTTTTAGATTCGTAAATGAGTTGGTTGTTTGCCTTTAATTTTTCATCATTAATAGCTTTTCTATAGAGAGTTCTTAGAATCCTATAGGCCTTGTAATCCTCATCATCATTTGTAGAATTCGCCACAATCTGAGCAGCTTGAAGAGTTTTTTTCATTTGTATCAAGTTTTTATCAAAAATGAACGTCTTCGGTTTCAGACAGTCTGCCCGTATCCTTCTTTCTTTGAATGCATTCTTGAAAGAGTTTGAAAGTAAGGTGACTAGGAAATTCGCTAAATTATTTGGGCAGTCCATATTGTAAAATGGAGTCCAATCAGTATTTTTCAAGTCTTCAATGAAATTTATTTTGCCACTTTCAGTTAGAGGTCTACATGTTATGAAATTATCTTTAGATTTTTCCTTAGTGGCTGTTGAAAATAGTATTCCTCTGTGATCAGACATATGAGCATCAATAACATCAACCGATATATCAGATATATTCGTGAAGAGGTTGTCTATTCTAGTAGCACTATTTTTTGTTGCTCTGGTTATTTCAAATACTTGTTCTGATAAGTTATATGAGGACAAAATATTTCTACACTCGTTTATATTATTACCAGATTTATTGAAGTCCAAGTTGAAGTCTCCTACCACTATTATATTTCTGTCCAATGGTAGCGTTTCCAGTAAATCAACAAGACAATCGAAATACTTTTTAGTATTGCCCAACGGGGACCTATAAGTCACTACTATAAGCAATTTGTCTTTCATTAGTTCAACTAAAATAAACTCAGCATCCACCTCAGCACAGACATTTTTTATCAAGTGAGTTCTTATAGCTACATTATTTTTGACGAAAAGACAGATACCTCCATGTAATCTGGTTTCCCTGCAATAGTGAGCAGCTAATTTATAACCTGGCAAGATTATATTATTCACTTGATGTTCATGCACCCAAGTCTCAACAAAACATATCAAATCAATCTCATTAGTGCTTAAGAAATATTCAATTTCATTAGTTTTTTTACTCACTCCTTGAATATTCAAATAAAATGACTTAAAACGACACTCGCGTTTATAATTTTTGTTTTGATCTCTTTTTCTCACAGTTTGGATAGCAACCTTCATATTGCTATCCTTAGGCTCGAAAAAACTGAATGTCATCTGAAATTTTGACAGTTCTCAAAGTAACCTTGGGAAGTTTAGATAGAGCAGCCAAGTGTATTTTTATGTCTCCCAGAATAATAGACTTCATTTGTCCATTGTCTGATATTATTTTGAGGGATGAATTTTTATTTCGATTATGTGCTAGAAAATTATTAATTTGAATCTTCATTGAATAAGTTATTGCATTATCAGATGGTTCATGAATTCCAGCTATGATAATAAGATTAGTCACTCTACTTATGGGCAAAACATTCCTTAAACCTGTATTCTGTGATCTAGTATTACTAACATTATTAGTTTTGAATAATATAAACACGAAGTCGTCTTGACCATAGTCCATAGTTTGACCAAATATTGACATGGTCAAGTCTGCAAATTCGATACCTGGACTGATTATTTCATCTATAGAATACCTATTTGTATCACACACTCTCGCTAGCGCAGTTCCAAACGAGGCAGCATATTCATCACCAATTATCAATATTTTGTTTTTTTTTGTGTTGTTTGCCGATTTACTGGTTTCTCTCTGATATCCCATCTCAGGCATGACATCCTCAGAATTCCCAACAATGTCAACATCAAAGTCTGTTAGGTAGCTGCGGTTGATTTTTTTCTTCTTCATCAGTTGTTGCTTCATCCTTACAATGCATTTTTTATTACTATTATTCTTTGGAACAGCTATTTTATCTTGACTCTTTTGGGGTTGTTCCTGTCTATTCACTTGCCATAATGCCAACTGTTCCTCAGAAAGTTTGAATCTCCTTTCCAATTTATCGTTTTCTTCTATCAAATTTGCCATTTCTTTCTCAAAATTGCTGTTTATAAATAGCAGTTGTTTAATTTCCTCGTCGAAGTTTTTGCAGTTTTTGTCATCGAACTTATTATTCATATCTTGCTTAACAGCAAATTTTTGAGTTGAAAGATCTTCAATAATACTTTCCAACTCCATTACATGGTTCTTCGTGATTCTTTCCTGTTCGGTGATTCTTTTCATGGTGGATTCTAGTTTTTCAATTTGATCTTGGGAATTACATAATTGCATCAATAATTCTTCATCTTCTGCTATTTTCTTCACTAACGCAGTTGTTTTCATCATTAATTCATTCTCTAGATGTTTTATGGTTTGTTTTTGTGACTCAATTTCATTCTTATAATATTCCTCAGCTTCTAGAACATCTGATTCGAAAAGTTCGGAGGTTTGTCTTATTTTGTCAATATGGTCATCTTTATTTCTCATTTTGATTTTCAGCTCGTTGACCACTGATTTGATGCTGTCATACTCATTTTATTTATCTTCATATGTTTGTGCACAAGATTTTGAGCAAAGGA